TATGCAGACATGCATACATAAATATAATAAGGGTGAAGCAGATATACTGCTTATATTTACATGTGTTTGTATGTATGTATCCATGACCTCAGTCCTGCGATTTACATTTATAACCTTTTATGATATGAAATTTCTATGATCCCTCTGTCTATTGCTAATGCCTTACTCATGAATAGCATTAAATTAAGAACTATTTTCCTTAATATTTTGCCAGTCATAAACATTGAATATATGTTTTAATCCATTGATGTCTCTGTTTACATCAAGTAAATAATGATAAATCTTATTTTTTTCTTTTTCATCCTTCACATTACAAAAGTAAGAGCTCAGCTAACACACTTCCTCAAGCCGCATATTAAATGCCAAGCAGCGTGGGGCTCGCGAGCAGCGGTTTGGTCACCCCTGATATATATATATATATATATATATATATATATATATATATATATATATATATATATATATATATATATATATATATATATATATATGTATATATATATATATATATATATATATATATATATATATATATATATAAAATTCACGTACGTATGTAAGTTTATATGTATGCGTTCACGAGAAAAATTTCATGATTCCCCGTCTCCTGGTTTTCCAGACGTATGCTATCGTTTCTTAAAGCTATTGAATGAAGAAAATGGATAAAGCAGGAGCACTAGTAGTAGTAGTAGTAGTAGTAGTAGTAGTAGAAGAAACTAAAGAAAGAAGATAGAAAGTAAAGATTATTTTTTTAATTTTCGATTGATATCTTAAATATTGACGTAGGTGATATAATTTGTTAATATTTTTATTATCTCTCTCTCTCTCTCTCTCTCTCTCTCTCTCTCTCTCTCTCTCTCTCTCTCTCTCTCTCTCTCTCTCTCTCTCTCTCTCTCTCTCTCTCTCCTTCACATTAGTGACGTGATATTAATAAAAACAATTTCATCCATTTTTTATTTGATGAAAAAAAACAGTGAACAAAACAAACAAATAGTGCAACGTTGGAATAATAACAAAGTGTGATTTGGGACTCCTTGTATTTTTCCTTCACGAGCCAAAGTTTGGTTAGTATTCACTTGAGATATTGGTAACACTGGGTTTAGTATTCCAGTATCATGAACTCTCGTTTCAATTTTCTATTTTATTTTTATGCTTGTGACACCAGGACGGGCAAAAAAATAAATATATAAAACAGCCCTCATCGGGCCTGGGCACGAAGAATACATAAAGTAAAGAGAAACAGATATGGAGAGTGTAATGACCTGTCAGATGTGAAGGGATAATAAAAGATGTGTAATGAATATCCAAGAATATTCAGTGTATATGTAGGCATAGAAAAAGTGTCGAGTGCTATCGTTTGTGTCACTGGAGTATGACTTCTTCCTCTTGAAATTTAGTTTATCTTTCATTGACCTCTTACCTAGCCTAACCTAATCTAATCTAACATACTTAAGGATGGGTTGGGTTAGTTTGGTTAGGTTAGGTTAGAATGCAATGAAAAATAAAATTCAACCGGCAGGAATCACACTTCAGTGGCCCCGATGAAGTTATTTTTCTAGAAGTCCTTGTTAGTAAGCCATCAACTCCATTTTAATTACTTATTGTCATATATAAATCTAGTTAATCTCCTTTTCAAGTACAAGAAAAATATCTATTTAATCTTGTATGTAAATAGTACTCCCTGACTTCCAGATTCAAGAATGAATTAAAAGTTTCGAAGATTTAATGGGTAGTCATACTGTGACAATTTCCTGAAGCCGCTGGTACATTTCTTCGATTTTCCAATATTTCTCGCCAAGGTAAGGGGTTTACGCTGTCAAACGGTTCGTCGAACTCGGTTCGACAGACAAGTGTTTGAAGTGATGTTCGAACGTGTGAACGGGATATTTGGTTGTCGAACACGTTCCGTGTTCGACAACCAAATACCCTGTTCACACGTTCGAACATCACTTCAAACACTTGTCTGACGAACCGCGTTCGACGAACCGTTTGACCGTGTAAACCCGCCTTAACATATTTTTGGGGAGATGAAATGTACAAGTGTGTGAGAATTTGCTCCGTTTTATTGTTATCTATAAATCCACAAATTAATATAGATATAGTATGTAAACTGATATAAGACTGCGGTACACAGAGGATTTTCTCGAACGATGCAGGGTCTACGATAATTGGCTGCTGCACCCAATAATCTCCGTGATTCGGAAGACCAAATCAGTTGTAGAAGACTGCGTACGACGGGTAAGATCGATCTTCTTGATAGTACGTGGGCGTAGGAGAAGGTGTACGCCCGCGTACGATCCAGAGGATCGATTCTACCCAGCGTACGCAGTCCTCCGGGTCTGGAACCGTTAAAAATTTAAAAATTCGCTTATACGTCTGGCAGCGCAGTACGAAAAGACAGCACGCGCATGCGTGGTCTCATTTCTGACAACCCAGTCCTGGGCGTTCAGTTTTCCTGCTCCGCTTGCCGCATTTCTTATTGTTTTAGCATGATATTAGTGCATTTCTTATTGTTTACCATGATATTAGTGCATTTATTTTTTCCCTCATATCAAAATATGAATTAATCAAATCCATAAATGTGTCAAACAAAATATATGAAATATATTAACATACATGGCCAACATATATTTACTTATATATATAAGTAGCTGAAGTGCCAGATATATAAATCAGGGTTATACTTTCACAAATATCCCATATATATATATATATATATATATATATATATATATATATATATATATATATATATATATATATATATATATATATATATTATATATATATATATATATATATATATATATATATATATATATATATATATATATATATATATATATATATATATATATATATATATATATATTCCATATATTTATTGTTCACTAGGATCAATTCTAACATAATTATATAAATGGAAAAGTAAGGGCAAATATAACTATACCAGATTACTTTTCATTTGCATTTACCAGTACATACTACTTACATTTGAAGGATTCTGTGAATGACAAAGATGAAACATTATTACATTATTAAATGTAAAATATTAAACTTAATATCTTCTCAGTATAAAATAATGAAAATGAAACATATTAAGATCAGTTATTGTAATATGTGAAAAACAAATGACTTAAAATAAATTACATATCTATATGGGAATAAAATGCTAAAATTAAAGTTACAAACGTCGTCCTTTAAACCATTCTCTCTTGCCACGATACCATTCCTTCGGGGGAATTACAGTATTCCTCCCGACTGCGTACAACCCCCTACGAACGTGTACGTTCCCCTACGATGGGTCGGGAGCGTCGGGAGCATGGTCGGCCCAGTCGTAACGGTCAAAAATTTAAATTTCCCGTTTTCTATGATGAGACTTACGTTTGCGTACGATCAGTCGTACGCTAAATTACGCGTCCAAACTACTCCGTACGATTGCAATTACGATCCATAGGACTGCTTACGCGGACGTACGACGCACTTCCGACAGGCACAGGAATGCACCTGTCGGCTAAAAAATCTGCCGGATCTCCAAGGTTTGAGCGAAGATTCTGTCGGAACACGGTCTTAAGAGTCGGGTCGGGAGTTTTGGCTATGTGTGACGCCAGCATTAAGTGTTCATTCAGTTACGGATCTTTTTTTATCCCTTAACATCTTAAGAAGTCACTACACTCCCAATCTCTGTTTCTCTTTACTATATGTTTTCTTCGTGCCCAGACCCGATGAGTGCAGATTTGTTTATTTATCTATTTATTTATTTATTATTATTTTTTTGGCCCGTCCTGCTGTTACAATCCCCCCAAAAATGTACTCAGGATAAAGTAGCTTAATCTTTACTTTATAAGAAGGATTTCTGTATTTCGCTATTAACAAAATAGCTTTGTAACAGGTTAATCATTTTACAAACTTTATTCGTAACATGTCTGAATATGATGTTTCTATTTCCGGTTGGCGCTATATTTCCTGAGAGAGAAAAATTTGAGACATGAAAAAACTGAAAAAAAATATTTGTATAAGAATGTATATCTTGGAAAAGCTATTCAAATTTTCTGTAATTAGGTAAATGCTCCAATGAGCTTCAATTAAAGCTAGAAGTATGCATTAAATGTCGATTTATTATAGAAGAGATATATTTTATCAGTATTATATCGAAGTAATGGTTGTTAAATTATCAGAACATATTTGATAACAGTGATTAGATAGCACTACGAATTGTGATATGTGTTTGATTCACACAATAATTCACTTCCCCATTCGTTACACAACAGACATTACAAATATTGACCATGTGCTGAAAGATACCTTTTATTGAGAGCTGTCAGTTATTTTTCAAAATTGACTGCCTATACACGTGGTTATCTGTAGTTTAATCAAAAGACATTAAATCGATGATTAAGAGAATATTATTCTATCTCTATCTATCTATCTACAAGAGCCATATTCCCCCTTACAAGGGGGGTGGCTGAGTCAAAGTAACTCACCTTGAGTCTTTGTGGGAAGAAAATACAGAGTGGGTTCCCAATCTCCACGTTCAGCCCCATGTAGTCTACTTTTACGACACGCTAGGAAACACGAGGGGGTATCTTGTCCTGTTCTCTCAGGGGGAAATATAATTTTCTATATTTTTTATGTCTTAATTTATATTCTACTCTAGGAAAGAATGCTACCTATGAGAAATATTTGAGAATGAACTACTGAACTTAATTATCCAAAACAGACAGAGAAAGAAAGTGACTGAGAAAATTACAAATATTTCATTCATGGCAACATATATGTATGTAAAATCGCATGGCTCTCTTAAAAGAACACAAAATTTAATATTATTTAGTTATGTTTGCCATTATTTAAATAATATTTTTTTCATATATATATATATATATATATATATATATATATATATATATATATATATATATATATATATATATATATATATATATCATATATATATACGTCATTTACTCATTCCGTTAGCGAGTCTTCCAATCTCGTTAGTCGTCAGGATGGCCGAGTGGTCTAAGGCGCCAGACTCAAGGTTGATACCTTCCCCTCTGATAGAAGGGTCATAAATGGGCATTCTGGTCCTCTCTGAGGGCGTGGGTTCGAATCCCACTCCTGACAAATATTTTTTATATATGATCCCATACCTGTTCATTTTCATGGTTAGGTTCTACCAGCGAGGAGATTTTTATCTCGAGCAAAATTTATTATCACGGTGTTAATAAGAACCGAAGGGGTCTTTGAACAAACATCATTCATTTAATCTTTTGCCAGTGCTCCTAAGCACCATTTTTAAAAATCCGCATTTCATATCAAGCACATACCATTGGAGGCACTGGAATCAACCATAATCAGTGACACTAAAATAAAGTTTGGGGGGAAATATATTAGGTAGTAAAAGCTAAGTTTAATTATACCTAATTGCAATAGTAAAATTATATTACAGCTATTTAGATATGAGAGAGAGAGAGAGAGAGAGAGAGAGAGAGAGAGAGAGAGAGAGAGAGAGAGAGAGAGAGAGAGAGAGATGCACATTTCCTCTCTTATGGATCAAGCATTGCTTCTGTCCTGTATGAAATAGAACTAGTTTTTGAACTCTTGTGGATGAAGTTTCAGTGAATCCACATTTCCGTTGCAGATCTTGGATATCAGTGGCATTAGATTAGGCTTATATGTTACCAGAAGACAAGTAAGACTTATGGTCTCAGTATGACAGACTGCATTAGCTTATATGTGAGATATTAAAATCAATGGCGTCACTGGAATCGACTAGGCTTATAGGCAAGTTCGCTAACTGGAACTTATCTCCAATGTTATTATTATTATTATTATTATTATTACTATTACTATTATTATTATTATTATTATTATTATTATTATTATTATTATTATTATTATTATCATTATTATTATTATTATTATTTTGTTGTCGTATATGATGATGTGGCATTCATGAAATCGCTGCATATTCTGAAAGTTGAGGCTGTAGTGGCATAGTGTATTTTCTTTCTTTATTTGGAGTGTTGTATGTCTTCTTTATTTATATATTAATTAATTTATTAATTGATATATATATATTTTCACTTTATTTATTAATAATTTTGTTGTTGCTGCAAAGTGATCCCTTAATTTTGCTTCTTTTTGTCATAACAAACTGTACATTGTTTTGGTTTTCTGTTTTTATGGCAACACTGACTCTGTATTGCCGCCTTTTTCGTGTAGTGTGATATTTTTGGTCTGTTCATTTTCGATACATAAAAATTGCTCATAATTATCACTTGTGCCTAATTCAATACCTTAAATGATATTGTGGTAATCTTGATATCTTGTCAGACAGAACTATAAGGTGGTGACCACCGTAGTGACAAGATATGGGAGTGACAAGATATAGGGGTGACAAGATATTTGTGATTGACAAGATAGGCCTAAGTGACAAAATTTCTTCAGCATCATACCGGTAGCCAAGGCCTAAGTTTCTTTCAGTATTTGTACTCTAAGATAAGCTGTCATAAACAATGTCCGATTCTGATGATGATAAGTCTAGTGCTGTCAGGCACATAGCAGTGAAAGCCCCTGCATTCATGGACACCTGCGTTTCAGGGTGGTTTTCTATTCTTGAAGCTCAATTTGGCTTAGCTAATGTGAAATCCAGTGAAACAAAATTTTTCCATGTGTTATCTGCCTTGCCCCCTACTGTTGTAGAACGTGTTCCCCAAGACACTTTAAATAGGAGAGACTATGATATAATTAAAGCATACCTCACAAATCTTTTTGAACAGACCAAGCCTGAACTTTTCAATGATTTGATAAGTAATACAGTAATGCATGGCAAGCCTTCAGTTTATTTAGAAGAAATTCGCAGAACTGCTTCTAAATTAGGAGTAACAGATGACCTAGTGAAACATAAATTCTTGCAAGCAGTTCCCAGTAATATTTTGGCAGTTTTAGCCTCTCAGCAAAATATGGATTTACCAGCTTTAGGCAAGCTTGCAGATGTACTAGTTGTATTTTCTCTAAATAATAATAGTGCTAAACCCATCAATGTTGTTGATCAGTCGTCAGTTTCTCGTCAAGCTAGTACATCCCAGTATGTATCAATTTCCAAGAATCCACCTGTAGGCCTAGGAGTGCAACCTTTCCATCAAAATCAACGTCCAAAAGTTTGTCGTGCTCATTTATATTATGGAACTCGGGCTAGATGGTGCAAGCCGTGGTGCCAATGGCCGAATAAATCTCAAAATATCCAGATGAAGGATTCTTCTAGAGCTCCGTCCCCAGCATCAATGTCTAGGTCCTCGTCGCCCGCACGGAATTTTCCTAGTTCGGAAAACTAATAAAGCAGACAGAAGAGAAAATTGTAGCTACGGCCACTTCTGTTCTGCCACTTCTACAGGTTGTAGCCAAAATTGGTTGTAGTGACATGGTCTTCACTGTGGATACAGGAGCTGCAGTCTCCATTATTCCATATAAGTATGTTTCAGAAATTTTATTAAGGCCAACAGCAGTTAATATTTCTACGGCCACTGGCGAGTCAATAAAAGTTTATGGTGAAATTATTCTTGACCTTGATATTCGGCAGTTGCGCCGTCGATTTAAGTGGACTTTTGTTGTTGCAGATGTATGTACACCTTTATTAGGTAATGATTTTCTTTGCAATTTTGGATTGTTTATTGATTGTAAGAATAAAACTTTACATGACAATATAACACAATGTTCTGTAAAAGGTGATATTGCAAATCATAATGTTTCGTATGTGATTAATAATTTGAACTATTTACCTGATTCTGTACAACAGTTGTTCCAAGATTTTCCCTCACTCTTGTCCTGTGTTAAGCCTCTTACAGCTAATAATTCTTTCAAGAATTCTAATGTTTTTCATTATATAGATACAGGGAGTTCTCCTCCGACATTTGCTAGATGTCGTCCGTTGGCTCCAGACAAATATTCTGCTGCCAAGGAAGCATTTAAACAGTTGTTGGATATGGGTATTGTACAACCCTCTAAATCACCTTGGGCTTCACCCATTCATTTAGTTCCTAAACCTAAGCCAGGAGAGTGGAGAGTATGTGGTGATTTTAGGCAACTTAATACTTTGACCAAGCCAGATAAATATCCTTTACCACATATTAGTAGTGTGTCATTAAAGCTTTACAAGAAAAAGATATTCAGTAAAATTGATTTGTTAAAAGCCTATCACCAGATCCCTATGAATCCTTCAGATGTTGAAAAGACAGCAGTAACCACACCCTTTGGGCTATATGAATATTTATATATGCCTTATGGTCTTCGGAATGCCCCTGCCACTTTTCAGCGTTTGATGGACAATTTATTTAGAAACCTTGATTTTGTATTTATTTACCTGGATGATATTCTGATATTTTCAGAGAATACAGAAGAGCACAAGAAACATTTGTCTATAGTATTTGAAATCCTAAGCTCTAATAATCTTAAAATTTCTATTGATAAATGTGAATTCTTTAAAAATGAAATAGAATATTTAGGATATTTGATCACTGCTAATGGTTTAAAACCTGGTTCTCATAAACAGACAGATATTGTTGATTTTCCTAAGCCAGCAGATTCTGCTGCCTTACGTAGATTTATAGGAATGCTCAATTACTATAGACAAATGGTACCGCATTTTGCTGATGTTGTATATCCTTTGACGGAATTAATTAGATTACAACCTAAATCTAAAGAACTAGTATGGAATTCGGAAGCAGAATCTGCCTTTGTAAATGCTAAAGAGTCACTTAACAATGCTTGTACCATTGCATATTTCACTAGTAAGTGTAATTCTCCACTGCATTTGGTGACTGATTGTTCCCAAGTGGCAGCTGGAGCTGCATTACACCAAATTCAGGATGGTAAATTTGTCCCTATTGAATTCTTTTCAAAGAAATTATCAGAAACTCAGAGGTGTTATTCTACTTTTGACCGAGAACTGCTTGCTGCGTGTCTGGCTGTACTAAAATTTAAACATGTAATTGAAGGACGTGAAACCATTTTATTTACTGATCATAAACCCCTTTTTTTTGCATTTAAGAATCCTCATACAGCCAAGTCAGATAGACAGCAACGATATTGGTCTTTAATTAGCGAGTATATATCAGATGTTGTACATATCAAGGGTGCAGACAGTGTTGTAGCAGATTGTCTTTCCAGACCATTACCTGTATCTTCTGTCTCAGTGGACTTGCATGATTTAACCAGCATAGCTGAGAGCCAATCCACTGACACAGAAATTCTTAATTACAAAGAGGGATTGAAAATTTTCAAAATTCAGAATCATGACTTATATTGTGACGTGTCAACACCCCATCCAAGACCATTTCTTCCCTTAGCTTGTCGTAAATCAGTATTTCAACTTATGCATAACATTTCACATCCAGGAGTCAAAGGTACGTTGCGCCTTATCAAAGCTAGGTACTTTTGGCCTAATATGGATCGAGATATTCGAAGTTGGACTAAAGAGTGTACTTCTTGTCAGCAGGTTAAAGTGCACCGCCATACCCGTGCTCCTATTACAAATTTTACAGCACCTTTTGGGAGATTTGAATTTGTACATTTAGATATTGTTGGTCCTCTCCCTCCTAGTAAAGTCACTGGTCAGTCTTTTACAGCACCAGAACAATACGTTCTTACCTGTATTGACAGATCTACTAGATGGTTGGAAGCCATCCCCATCACAGATATTTCTGCTACCACTGTTGCTTTTGCTTTTATTAAAGGTTGGGTATCTCGTTTTGGAGTGCCATTATATGTTTTTACTGATAGAGGTGCTCAATTTGAATCTGCATTATTTCAGCATCTTTCCTCTATAATTGGATTTCATAGACTGCGTACCACTTCATATCACCCTCAATCCAATGGCATGGTTGAAAGATCACATAGAGTATTGAAAGTATCTCTGATGGCACGTAAAGATGATTGGCTTGCTTCTTTACCAATAGTACTTTTAGGTTTAAGATGTCTCCCCACAGAGTCTGGAGTTTCTCCATTTACTTTGGTAACAGGAAGTATGCTACTTAGTCCTAAAATCATGGTAACAACTGAAATTCCTTCTTTTGCACAACAAAAAGAAATTGTCTCTGAATTTGTATCTCGAATGCGTGAATTAG